TCTATTTTGTAAACAAAGAATAAAGATTAGTGGCCTAAATGTGTTCTACACAGAATCTCTTATCCGATAAAGATAGGGAGCAAGTATTACCTGAAAGGCGAGAATTCCTAGTGCAAAATAGCGTTGTTGCTTCGCTGGCGGGCACCGCAGTGAGAACTGCCTGCAAGGAGTCCGCCACTGTAACTGGACCAACGTTTGCGCGGAGGAAACAATTGTCGCGTAACGACCTCGAGGTCAGGGATCATGTTGCTTTCATTAAGGCCCTTATCTGGATGCGGGTCCTGAAAATGATTATACACGAACAGCAAAGAGTACGTTGACCGTTGATTTTCTTTTCCTAACTGGTTTGGGGAATAAACGTTGATTGCTCTCAAGGTTAAAAACTTAAGAAAAAGTAGTGATGGGGGAAATTTAAGGAATAAATTGAGAGAAAGAATATAGTATGAAAGAAAAAGTTTCAAGCACAAATTGTAAAATCCAATTGTTTATACGACCAGTAAAACCACAATTCAACGATATTTGTATAATAGCTATAGGTATTATATTCTTTTGTGAAAGGGAATAAGGAGGAATTATGTATATTAAAGGTGCTCAGTTTTAAGAATTTTACCCATCACCCATGAAAACTAGTGGTGCAAAAACAGCACGTACTTTCTCGCTCTTAGTAAAGATTATGTAATGGCAATTTATACCACAATTTCTCTCCGAATTAACACATCTCAGTCATTTTTTGTAAAACGCATTACAAATCGTAGAAAATTTGGTACGAAAACGAAATATTTTTAAGCAAATATCAACACACATTTAATACATACAGACAAGTATAACTGCTTTTCATACAGCTAAATCATCTCCCAACAATGAAACGTAATTCACAGAACTAAAGCAACCGTCTCGCGGCGCGGAATGCCATTGTTGCATTCCAATTGGATATTCCCTGAAGGCACACCATTTTCATTTCAAACATTTAAATCGTACTTTTAAGAGAGAAAATCTAATTAGATTAATTTTAATTGAGGTTTGCGAATTGTTTGAAAGTACATCAATACATTGAGAATGCAAATTCATTCCTCGCAACATGGACAAAAAATATGGATTATCAAATAGGTTTTAAATAATTTCTAAAAGATTAATTTGTAAACTGATAACAAACGCTCGAATGATAGAAACGAACAACAAAAATATTAAACAATATAAATTCTAACTTACGTGGCATCTACCTAACTGCAATAATCATTAATTTTACGTTCAAGAAGTGAAGGAAAATTCGAAGCGGGCGTCTGTATTTGAAGCCAAATTTCACAGAAACTGTTAATATTTTCGTAAACTTTGCCTTGACCTAATTTTAAGATCTGTTTTTGATGAACACATTTCATTTTTTTAAAAAATGTATCTTCACAATAGGAAGACGCCGAAAAATATTTAATTTTTTTTCATTCAATTTTCAACGAAAATATCAAAATATTCAATTTTCGAAATTCAACGAACATGAGATCTGCGTCATTCTCTTCAACGTTCTTTATGCTATCTAATGACTAAATTAAATCAAAAAAATTTGCAGTTTTTAAGAAAAAATGGTTTAGAGGAAATAAATATTGCCTATGTTTGACACAAAATCACGCAAAACTATAATTATTTTTAAAAAATCGAAAACGATATTATTTGAAGATCTGTTTCTATGAATACATTTCATTGCATGTTTATCTTCATAATTGTAGTTGAAGGAAGACGCAAAAAAATATTGAATTTTTGCAATTTTCAAAAATCAGGATTTCAACGAACATGAGACCTATGCCATTCTCTTCAGCGTTCTATACGCTATTCGAGGTCAAAATTGAATCACAATTGTTGGTGCCTCTTTGAGAAAAAAAATTATTTAAACAGAATAAAAAATTGCCCACATTTCACAAAAAACTACGCAAAAAGTACTAGAATTTTCGAAAAATTGTACACGACCTTATTTTAAAATCTATCTGTAGAGAACAAGTTTAATTAAGGAAAAAATCTCTTCATAGTTGTAGTTGTAGGAAGACGCCGAAAAATTGGATATTTGCAATTTTCGAAAAATCAAAGTTCTCAGCAAAAACGAGGTCTGCACTATTCTCTTAAATATCCTTTACAGTATCCAGCAACAAAATTTAATCAAAGACGATAGAGCTTTTTTTAATTTAGAAAATGCCCTCTGGACAGACCGACAGACCGACGGACCGACGGACCGACGGACCGACGGACCGACGGACCGACGCACCGACGGACCGACGGACCGACGGACCGACGACGGACCGACGTACCGACGGACGTTTTGCCGTCAATCGATTTTTCTGTATCAAGGACTCACAAAACATGGATTCTGGCTACACCATGTGTTAGAGGATTTTCCCCCCTAAATTTATCAATTGAATTTTTTATTTTTTTTCATTACCAAGGCTCTGTTATAAGATTTTTTTGCCGAAATGTCGCCGTTTTTTTGCGCGGCATTACATAACTTTCTCTCTACTACATAAACGGTACCGAGAAGGTAAAAAGAATTAACGTACTCTTACGAGAAAATAAATCCATAAATGACGGATTTTAAATTGGTAAATTGTTAACGCATTATCTAATTTATTGAATCAATCTTGCTAGCCCGAGTTCCTCCCAGGCAGTCACGTTCACGCAAAACCATGACTTTCCTTACGAATTTTTTAAGTGGCGAATGATATCTGCTGTCCAGATGACTCCTGGTTAACGAACATCCTCAAGACTCGGGTCGCGGAAGAGGCCTGGATGGCCGTGGTGGCTAGGATCGTCTACCGACTCAATAATTCGAAGGGTCGCGGGTTCGAGTACTGACTTAGATATATGCAGAGTGTCTGGAGAGGAAACGCCGAAACTTCACAAATAAGCTCTTAAGACAATATTCAGCATATTTTGTCATACAAACTACGGGGAGATTCCGAAGCCTGAGCCTGAGCCTCAATAAGCACTCAAAAGTTGGTTTGAAAAAATGTTTTCTAGCCAAATTTTGCATTGAAGAAGCATACAAAACACTCCAGAAAAATAAATTGTTTATTATTTACAAAAGCAATGAATATATGTCTTCAGAAAGAAAAAATACATAGAAATAATAGCACCCAATTTACACCTTTCAACTGTTTTTTTTTATTTCTCGGTAAAAACGTAGTTTATATGACTTAAATATGCTATAAATTGTCTTAAGAGCTTGTTTGCGAAGTTTCGTCGTTTCCTCTCCAAACACCTTGTATGTTCATCCCTTGTGTATTTGTCGCGGAGGGCCTCGCGTTCTGCTGACTCCAGATCAAAGAAGCGCACAAGTGTGTTGGTGTCTAATGTACGTCGAATATTCATCCCATTGGGATGTAAAGGAGAACCTCCTGTCAGCTGGATAAAAAATTTAAAAACCTTGTGGTGCTAAAACAGCACATACTTTTTTCGCCTGCACATTCACGCAAAATTACGCGAAAAGTACTCAATTTTTTTTTTTAATTTTACGTGACCTTACTTCAAAATCTATTTTTAAGGAACAGATTTCATTAAGGCAAAAAGTCTCAAACTTCATAATTGTAGTTGTAAGAAGACGCCGATTTTTTTTTTTTTAATTTTTGCAATTTTAGAAAAATCAGAGTTTTTAACGAAAATGTGACATGCACCATTTTCTTAAAGGTCGATGCCGCATCTGGCCATCCAGCGGGAGAAGAACACCGCCACTTCCAATATTAAAAGCATGCAATTCAGGACAATAACCATACATGACGGGCCCGGAAACCCGAAATAATCGATATATTTAATCTATATCGAAATAATCGATCTATCTAATAATGTTTCTACTAAAACCTGCAAAAGGTTTCCAACCAGGAATTATTTCTTCGCATTGTAATTCGAACTGAGATTCTCAAACTTAGCACGCCATTTACGTTACCATTACATTTCCAACCTCACAGCGAAAATCATTCCCGATGCTCTAAAAAAACTTAATATTTTTCGTTTGCAATTTTCAAAACTTCAGGTATTTTCATTTACATTATTTCAAGATCTAGTTTTAAGGAACAGATTTCATTAAGAAAAAAAAGTCATCAATTTTGTAGTTTTACAATGTTAATTGTCTGGTCCCAGTTTTCGAAAATACAAAATATTCTTTTAAATGAGACCTGCGGCATTTCCTTAGCATCGTTTGTTTCATTAAAAAAAATGAAGCCGAATTGTAAAACAATAGCCTATATTTCACGCAAAATTACACCAAAACTCATTTTTCGTCTCATTAACATGACCTTATTTCAGAATCTAGTTTTGAAGAACAGATTTGATTAAGCAGAAAAGATTTATCTTAATTATTATTGTTGTAAGAAGGCACCGAACAAAGTTTCTTTTGCAATGTTCTGCAATTTGTTGCATCGGTCAATAGAGCAATTGTTAATTCGATGTTTTTGCCATTTTTACAAAGTTGCTTAATTTTGGCTGTTTTTAAAAATCTAGAAATGGATCTGGAAGTGAAAATCTTGCTGTTAATAAAGCATTGGAAATATGAGTTATCGGGTGTATGAAGGCTGGTGCACATTTTTAATAAACAATACGGAAATTCACCCAACCCAGCCGTGTATGTATGTATGTATGTATGTATGTATATATATATATA